CGGATGAAAGCCTCAACGCTTGCATGAAGCTTAAACTCACCAACTACCAAGCAGACTACAGAGCCATCAGCAAATCCAAGCAGCACTAGGAGTTGCCTTAACGGTGAGTATTGTAACAACAGTATTTAAAAGAATAAATCCAGAGGCTTACTACACTCATATTCAATTTAATTTAATCTTAAAATAAAGTATACGGTTCTCACTGAAATATATTATCGAACATTTGCTTTCTTGTCTCTCTGAGTCAAAAAGGTTCCCGACCCCTGTCCTAGTTCGTCATGACAAACCACAAAAACTGAATTCTGTTCCAACAGCCTAGTGCTGGTTATGCACAGGTCGCAAGCGGCAAAAAGGATGACAGACAGAAGCACTGACCGTTGAGTTGACAGCTGCGGTAAGATTTCGAGAGGCCAGTTTAACCGCCATATTGTACGGCGAAATAGGATGGAAGCATTGCTTTCCGTGCGGATCCACACTCTGAACTAAACGCACACCCACACTTTGGGCACATTTGGCTGGAGGGAAAAAGGAAACAGACTTTTAAAGACAGTTTCCGTCAAAGATGGTCCGCGAACGGGCAAAAAAACTGGATTCTTTTTCATAAACAGAAGTTTTCGACAACAGAAGCAAACAAAACGGCGCACTTCAGCAAGCGGTTCTCGAAACTCGAGGACATAACAATTGGAGCTAACGTGTGCACGTAAGAGCGTAGCTCGAATTCTCCTCTATATATATCCGTAACTCGAGTGATTACAATGAAAATGATCAGCGGCCTACTGTGTAGGGAATATACTGAGAATGATGATCAACAGACAATCCTGGAATTCACCTAACGCACCAGATACCACTTCATATTCGACAGAGTCAAGTATTGGCAACTGAAAGACATACCGAGAGGATTGTGAATTACCGCCTAGGCTATCGCCAAAATCTGTCCCCATGTGAACGATTGAATTGAGCGTGCTGTTATTTCGAATTAAGCGACTGAATTGACCCCTCTCCTCTCTCTTTCACACACAATCACGAATGAGCTCTGCAAATCAAACCATTCGGGGATTAGAGTGAATGCATTCGTTGACGCGACATGAAGTCGCTGGCTAACAGGTACCACACACGGGTTAGAATCGGACGCACAGTATAGCTTCACAAGGGTCGCAGTAAGAACTAACTGTAGTATGACGACTGTTTTGAGGGCGAGCTAGTTATGCATTCAGTTGGCAACCATAAAAGCCGTGACGTTTAGCATATTAGATTTACTATAATGAGGAATGCACCGATGCGCCATAATAGAACCTTAGCATCGTCGTCACTGGTCATGAGCCCTTCTTATGCACTGATGCTCTGTACATCTGGTGGTCAACTGGTGATGGCAGTACAGCAAATTCTCTATCGCCTGAAATATCAACGGTTTGCGCAAAAGAATCCCGAGGTACGCCTACCTTTCAGTCCTCCTCAATGCAGATGCCTTTCCTGGTAAACACATAAAATAATTTACAGTAGATTTCCTGTGTTATTAAGTGCTAGCCAAAGTTTTGAACTGTGTTTTTGATTCGAACAACATATTTACGTAAGGTT